CGGCGGGGGCCACTGTCGCACCAGGACCCTGAACCCGCTCGTCGCCCCCCGAGGTCGCGCCCATCGCCTCGCCGCCGTGCGCGTGACTCTGCGCGGCCACAGCGTCTTCGCGCGGGATGTGCGCACTGCTGCGTGCCCCACCGCTGATGCCTGCGCCGCAGCTGAAGGCTGCCTCTTCTGGTCCGCGGCGTGAGTCGCGCTCCGGGGAGATACCAGGGAGGGAAAGGGGACCCGTCGCCGCACAACTGCCCGTGGTGGCGTCGGCTGCGCCGTCCGATGAGCCCGTCACACCGTTTCCTTCTGGCCTAACGGGCCTCGCTTCTCCTCGCAAGGTCTGCCGGCCACCGGGGGCGCCCGCGGGGGCGCCAGGACATGGACATCGGAAGCAAAGGGTGCCTCGCTCGCCTGCAGGCGAGTGGGGAGCGCAACTCTGGGGAGACCTGTCGCCGCTGAAGGCTGCCATACCTTCGCCAGCTGGGGAAGCGCCGCGAGGCCCCTCTCTTCCAGGGGGGGGGGGGGGGGACCCGAGCAGGGCGCCATCGTCCGATAACCCCGCAACTGGGGCGTCAAGGTGGGGCCGGCTTGGCAGGTGCCCTGAGTGCCACGAGGGCTCGGGGCCCTGGCGGTGGAGTCAGCGACGCGCTGCTGACTCCAGGCTCTGGGATCGGGATTGGGGCGAGGGCCCCCCGCAATGCCAACGCCTGCGGCGTCGGTGCCGTCGCGCGCGCCCCCTCCAGGAGCGAGGGCCACTGGGGGGCCCTGAAGGTGGAAGGGAAGGGTGGGGGACATGGAGTTAAAGGTGCGGAGCGGAGGGGCAGCGCTGTCTTGCGTACCAAGGTTACCAGGGGCACCAGGGATGCGACTAACGGCCGCCTCGTCTCTTGAATGCGCCAGGCGTGCCCTGCGGGGCCCGTCCTCTCCTCGGCCAACGGCCGAATTGTCATTCATCCTTTCACCAGGGTCTGCGGGATCGATCGGTGGATCCGACGTGAGATCGATCGCTCTGAGGTCGGTCGGATCTCCCTCTGAGCATGGCGGCGAGGGTTGCCCTGGAGGGACCTGGAACGGGGAGCTTTCTGGGGTGGGGGGGGGGGGGGGGCCTGCGGCCAGCGCTTGGACCTCCGTGCCCCGCACTAGGCCCGCGCCCCCGCTCTGCCTTTCACATGGGAGATCGGCGCCGCGATCCGAGATCCCATCCTCCATGTGGCTAGCTAAGCCTGCTGCGCTGGCTGCGCCTAGCTGGGGCTGCGCCGCGAGTTGAGCAGGGCCGTGGCCGGCCGCGGCCAGAGGGGAGCGGCGCCCGCCCAGCCGCGCGTCGGGCACCCACTTGAGACCTGGGAGACTGGCGAGAGAGCACCAGGCCCAGGAGATGGTTCGAGCCGGGCCACGGACTGGCGGGGATACTTTTTAGTCGGCGGCTCCGAGGCGGCGGGCAGGGAGCGGAAGGCGTCGTCTGGGCCAGCAGGCGAAGCTAATTAGCTACAACAGGCAACGCACCTGCAGTAATAGTTCGCAAGGAATACAAGGTGTGCGCATGCATTGAGCAAAATGCTCCACAGTAAAGCGAACGCACCTAGGCGCCAGCCACACCGAGGTGAAGCAGATCGCAGTGCTATGCAACGAAAAAGTCGCCCTGTCGGCGCCAGCCCGCGCAGCCAACCTAGCCGAAGCTGACAAGTAGCACCGAAGCGACGCGCTGAAGGCTGAACCACTCAGGTGCCACCGCCGCACGCGGGGTCGGCTGGGACGGGGGCAAAGGAAAGGCAGGGACCTGCAGAGCTCTCACTCCACGATCCACACCGCTGCCCGTGGCGGGGCCGGCGCGTCAGCCATAACTGGTGGGGATACGCGAAGCGTCTAGAATGTAAGAGAAACGTCGGAGTGATCGCGACTCCCAGCATCGCCCCGGCTCAACTCCGAGGGAATCCAACGGAAGGGCGGCGATCCCGAGGGCACGGGCACATGCGCTGAAACGCCCCATCTGCACTAGAAGTTTGAGATCGCGGCTACGAAACCGCGAAAACGCTTACGCTGCGGTCACGTTGTCGCATGAGAACAACTGCCTCGCGCAGCACCCGAAACGGGAGCTCGAAAGCCGCTGGATGGCCTTCAACGGAACTTTGGCCCCAAACACTACAATCCCTTCTTCGACTCCCAAAATTCCATTCCGCACTGCTGCCCAGGCGGGTCCTCGAAGAAATGGCCAGGAGACTTCCGGGGCATCCGCCGCGACCTCCCAGTCGTCTGCAAGCCGCCGCCCGACGCCGCTTAAACCGGCCCCCCCCCTTAGCCGCCCGCCCCAGCAGCTGACTTCCCAATTTGCCGCCGTCTGAGCGGGAGGGGCGACGGAGGCGGGGGCGGAGGCGCGAGCTGAGCGCGGGCCAATCTTGCGGAAGCGGGACCGCGCACTATCTCATCCGACGTCTGCGACTTCCCCGGGGCCCACAAAACCCCGGGCGATAGCCCGCCCTGCCAGACTCGCGTCGGCCTCGAGGACACACGCGTTCCACGGCAGCCACCAGTCGCGACCCGACAGAACAAAGCCCCTTCGGAAAGCTTCGAGCTCCGCGACGACCTCGCCCCGAAGGGGTGACGCTTCAAGATGCAGCGACGAGATGAAACGATAGACAGCGCGGAAGATGGAGAAACTCTCACGGGCAGCGAGGCCGCAGCGTGCGCAATGGCACATTATCTTGTCAAGCGCTCTTCTTCTGCTGCACCGGCCGCGGGCCAACAGTCCCGACAGGCCGCGCTCTAGCTTCCAGAACCGACCGGGCGCGACGCCTGAGCGGACCCCCCCCCCCGCCCAGCTCAGCGCCCAGGGTCTCGCCGCGCCCGCCGCGCGTCTCCATCTTGCGAAGCGCGAGGCCCACCGGCTAGAACGGCTCGCTCCACTCGGACACCGCCTGCCGCCAAGTGCGCGGCTGTCCGCGATGGCGCCCAGGTCGCCCGCGCGCGCGCGGGCCCCGCCAACGCGGCGCCCCCCGGCACTAAATGCGAAGGCCTCGGACTGATCCGGAATCAAGTAGCCCCCTCGGCCAGCGGGCGCGGCCGCCCGCGGAGTCCGCTGCGGCAGACCCGCCCCCGGTTCGCGGTCTGGGCCGGGAAGAGCGACCAGCTGAAACCCACGGGCAGCACGGCCGCGCGAGGCCGCGCGCCCACGCTGGGCCCCTGGGCCCCGCGCCCCCGCTGAGGCCAGCGACCCCCCGCCCGTCGAAACGTGGGCCGGGGCGGCCGGGCGGCAAAAAGCTCTCGTGCAATCTCACGCGGTAGAAGCAGTCCGTCACATCGGCGGTGGCCACGAAAATCGCGAACGCGCCCAGCAGCTCGCGGCCCTGGTCCGAGGCGGGCAGCGCGCCTTTTCCAGCAGCTCCGCCTCGATTTTGCCGAACCCCTGGCCGCTAAGAGGTCTCGCGCCGGGCGGCGTCCTGAAGCGCCCGTTGCTCCTGCCGGCGCCCGCTATCATCCGCGGGGCGCCGCTCGACTCTGCAGCGAAAAAAATGCCCGCGGACTCGGGGCGGCGCCTCCTTGGCCGCTTCGCGCCAGGGCGGCGCGGATGCGCCCTCCTCGGCGGACACGGCGTCGCGCTCAGCGCGATCGCGGCCCCGCCTCCGCCGACGCGCGCAGACGCTCGGGGTCGCCGCCGGGGCGGGCCCCTCCGCCAGGGCCCTCCGCCTCCGGCGGTCGCGCTGGGCTGCCGCCGCGGCGCGCCTCCGCTCGCCCGACGCCGCCGGGCGCCACGGGGGGCGACGGGCGCCTTGGCAGCCGCGGCCTGCGCGCGGGCTGGCGGAGCCGGGGCACTGCCCTTGCGCGCAAGCGCGCATGGCCTTTGGCGACGCGTCCCCGAACCCTCACCGCGGGTCCAGCCCTCGGACTCGACCTTCTGGAGCGCGGCCCGAACATGGACGTCGCCGACGTCCACCCCCGGGAAGGAAACGAGCACTTCGCCCACGAACTCCGGGCCCCGCAGCCACCGAGGGCCCACCCGAGCCGACGCGGGCCGCGACTTGGCCGCGGGGGCCGACGCGCCGCTCGTGGCCGTCGTCGCCAGCCTCTGGCGCGGCCAGCCCCTGCGGAGCGCCTCCTCCGCGAAACACGTGAAGGAACCCTTCAGGCGCAGGCCCGCTAGCTCCTCCGCGGAGAACCACGCGACCTCGCGCGTCTGCGGCTCGCGGGGGCCCCACGTCCCTTCGCCGGGCGCCAAGGGGTGGTGGAACCACTGGACCCCCTTGAAGTCCGGACTTGATCTGGTGTTCCTCCACCCCAACCTTATGGCACCCGCGGGACGGCAGCGGCACCGCCAGGCTGGCCTCCTCGGCGAGTTCCCGGAAGGCACAGCCCAGCTGGCTCCCGTCCGCGAAGTCGAACCGCCCCTTGAGGAGCTCCCAGGGGCCCGCCGCATCCTGGCTGCGCCGGATGCGACGGGCCCGGACTCCGCTGCGCAGCCTGGTCACCGACACACCCGCGGCCACAATCGGCCGCGCAGCGAGCGCGTCCGGCTCCGCCGCGGCCCTCTCCTCTCGGGTGGGGTGCCCTAGCTTGGGCGGCATCCTCCCGCGCCACCCGAGGCTCAGCGCCAGCGTCCGCCGCCCCTAGCGCCACCACCAGAAGCCGGCCTCGCCGCGGGCCGGACAGGGCCGCAGGCCATGCGGCCGGCGCGGGGCCGCCCGTCTCCAGCCGAAGGCAGGCTATGGACAGGAGAGAGAGAGAGAGAGAGAGAGGAGAGAGAGAGAGGAGAGAGGAGAGAGAGAGAGAGAAGAAAACAAGTGAGAGGGCGTGGGAACAGAGAAAAGCCGATGAATAAACTCTTGGATCTTTTGCAGGTGGTCACTCGTGCACAACACATCGCTACAGCCGCTACAGCCGTTCATCTCAAACCGTTCAACAACGTATAGGTATTCGGCCCTTTCTAAGCTTCCAGGAGCTCCGGCTCATGCCGTTTATCTTCTTTTCCGAGCTTCTCTGCATGGCGCGCTGCGGAGCGCCCCGGGAGCGCTAGCCTGTCGCAGCACGCTGGCCGCCGGCACCGCGGGCGCCGAGCTGGAGACGCTGGACGCGCCAGCCGCGCCAAGAGCACCTGGTGCGCGGCGACAGCGCGGTGGCAGGCGACATCCCACTCGTCGAGCAAATCAAAGCGTTCGAAGGAGGTGACGTCCCTTCCCTGGCAAAAGGCGGCGAAGGTCGGCAGAAGTAAAACGAAGACGCCTCTTCCGGCGGGAGCTCGGCGGAAGGCGGCGGAAGCTAAACCAGCCCCCACGAAGAGATGTCTCAAGCGGCAGCCCACTCGTCAAGCATGTACTCCACCAGCCCTCATCAGTGGGGCCACGGGGCAGAAATGCACCTTTCAAACATCGCCGCGTCGTGACAAAAACACGACGGGGAGGTTCGCAATTTGGAACTCACTGGGTCGCCCTCTCTGGGTCGCCCTGGGGCCGAAAAAAGAAGCTCGGGATGAACAACCTGTCGTTCGAAAGGGGTCCAGACTTCTGTGGAGCCACGTTGCGACAGAAATCATGACGTCGAATGCTTGGACTTGCGCGCGACATGACTGAATGGCTGCCGAACAGGCAGCCAGCATGCGCCAGCATCCTTGTGTGAGGCGTTCAGATCGACCTGGCCATCCCGAAGATCAGGCACTGGGGCAGGGATCCGCACACCCTCCACCTCCCCTCCCTCCTCATCCTCCTCCAGGACACCAACACCGAGGACTAGATGGTGCGGTCCTGTTCTTCGAATATCGACCCAACACACATGAAGCTGTATAATGTTGGCAACTGGGAACATCCAGTACTAAAAATACAACAAGGGCGGATAGTCTTAGCAGGGCCAGGTCAGGAGTCTGGGAGACCCCGTGAACTTCTGGGGCATCCAAAGGAAGCGTAGGAATGACAGCGTGTCCAGCCCCCAGGTTCTCAGAAGATCGCGTAGATGGCCCCAGGTGCCCCATGAGGCCCGACACTGCAAATTTGCCACAAGAAATGTTCAAAGAGCTCCAGGGCGACCCCCATGATGCCCGAATGCTGCCCCAGGATGGTCTCCAGAGGCCACATGACAAGCGGACCTTGGGACCTGCTGCCAATGAATGAGAGAGTATCCTACCAGAACTACACTATGTCAGAGAAGCCTTGAATAGTCTGCGAAAGGAGGAGGGAAAGACATATAGAGAGAGAGAGAGAAATACAACAACAAAAAACAGCAGCAGCAACAGCAGCAGCAACAACAACAATAATCAGATTAAGACTGTTCGCAACTATCTGCTCACGTGCTAATCAGTACGTGTATCCCAAACCCTCGGTACCCGCCCTCGTCGTCTTCGATCGTACCCCCTTGGGGGTATATCTTCCTTACCTGCCACGTGTATTTCGTGCAGCCCCTAAATCAAGGGACGAGATGACGGGTGGAAGGGGGAGGGAGAATAATGGAGCACGAGAGAAATTTGCAGGATGGGGGCAAGGAGCAGAAAACAAGTGGTAGAACCAAACGGGCAGATCGGGTGGGCAGACCCATAGCGGGCAGGTCGGAAAGACGGGCCCAGGCGACGAGGTCGAGCAGGCGGGTTGCTGAAGCATGGATCCTGCATGAATCGCGATAGTCTCGAGCGATAGCGCGATTCCTAAGTGAATCGTGAAAAAAGCCAGCGTGGGCCACGAAGGGCATAACATCCGAGGCCACAGGGGGCCGCGACGGGGCCGCCGAGGGCAATACCAGGGCCGCTGAGGGCAGCACCGGGGCCACGACGGGCAGCGAGGGAGCCACAAAGGGCGACAGCGGGGCCACGAAGGGCATGCATTTGGGGCCACGACGGGTGCGAGCGAGCGGGGGCCACGAAGGGCATTCGTATACGGGGCCACGAAGGGCGACAGCGGGGCCACTGAGGGCAGCAAAGGGGCCACGAAGGGCAGCGAGGGGGCCACGAAGGGCGACAGCGGGGCTACGAAGGGCATGCGTATGGGGCCACGACGGGCGCGTGCGAGCGGGGGCCACGAATTGCAAATACCGCGGAACCAGTACGGGGGGGACCACGAAGGCGGGCGAAGGGCAGCGAGCGGCAACTGCAGTCATTAACGAACTGGTCGGGCGGGCAGGCCCCGACGGGTGGGTCGAGCGGGCGGGTCGTTGAAGCGTGAGTCCTGCTTGAACCGCCAGGCAATATGAAGCGGGAGCGCGAGTCCTGAATGTCGAGGGCCGGCATCTGGATAAATTGTGAAGAATATCCAGAGAAGCGGTTCGGCGGTAAATTACGAGAAAGTCCCTAGCGAGAACGCGATTCTGCAATAAATTGTCGAGAAGTATCAATCGGGAGTCGCGATTCGGTGGTAAATTGCCACGAAATCCCAAGCGACAGTGCGATTCTTCAATAAATTGCGAGGAAATATCAGGCGGGAGCCGCTGTTGTTGCAAACCGGGGGCCAACGACACAGTTTGAGCATCAAGACTGTCCGTGATAAAAAGAAAAAAAACTCGAGCCTCGGGAGGGGCACTTCAATCGAAATTATCCCGGCAAAGCAACCTAACAGCGATGTGTAGAAGCATATCTGAAAGCATTCCCCTTAAGATTCAGATGAAAATCCAGTTGTAGAATTCTGCTGTTCTCGCAGTCGTAGTCGCATTCGCGATGACAGTCGCAGCGGCAACGGCAGTCGCAGTCACAGCCTCAGCCTCAGCCTGCCTCAGCCTCAGCCTCAGCCTGCCTCAGCCTCAGCCTGCCTCAGCCTCAGCCTCAGCCTGCTTCAGCCTCAGCCTCAGTCTGCCTTCAGCCTCGGCCTCAGCCTCAGCCTGCCTCAGCCTCAGCCTGCCTCGGCCGCAGCATCAGCCTGCCTCAGCGTTCAAAATGTGGCCCAGGAATGGAGTTCTGGGAACTAGAAGAACACGAAGTGGCCTACAGTTGGCTCCGGGCATTCAAAATCATGCCCAGGAATGGAGTTCTGGGAACTTGAAGAGCACGAAGTGGCCTACAGTTGGCTCCGGGCATCCAAAATGTGGCCCGGGAATGGAGTTCTGGGAACTCGAAGAGCACGAAGTGGCCTACAGTTGGCTCCGGGCATCCAAAATGTGGCCCGGGAATGGAGTTCTGGGAAGTCGAAGAGCACGAAATGGCCTACAGTTGGCTCCGGGCATCCAAAATGTGGCCCGGGAATGGAGTTCTGGGAGCACCAAGAGCGATTTTGCGAGGATGTCCGAAGCGATTTCGGCTTCGGCGGCAGCCGATCCGGGTCCCGCCCAGACCCCCCTGAGGAGTCATGATGCTCTCTTTTGAAACCACTAGAAACCTATCAGCAAGAGCTGTTAAGTAAAAATACCATGTGCACCGGGCGGGGGGGATCAACCGAAGACAAGAACAACAACAACAACAGCAACAACAATAATAAGAATAATAATAATAACAATAATACTAACACTAACACTAATACTAATACTAATACTAATACTAATACTAATACTAATACTAATACTAATACTAATACTAATACTAATACTAATACTAATACTAATACTAATACTAATACTAATACTAATACTAATACTAATACTAATACTAATACTAATACTAATACTAATACTAATACTAATACTAATACTATACTACTAACTACTATACTACTAACTACTATACTACTACTACTACTAATACTAATACTAATACTACTACTACTAATAATACTAATACTAATACTAATACTAATACTAATACTAATACTAATACTAATACTAATACTAATACGAATACGATACTAATACTACTATACTAATACGAATACTAATACTAATACTAATAAAATTAATACGAATACGAATGAAAGTACTACTATACTAATACAAATACGAATACGAAAACGAATACGAATACGACTACGAATACTAATACTAATACGACCTAATACTAATACTAATACTAATACTAATACTAATACTAATACTAATACTAATACTAATACTAATACTAATACTAATACTAATACTAATACTAATACTAATACTAATACTAATACTAATACTAAATACTAATACTAATACTAATACTAATACTAATACTAATACTAATACTAATACTAATACTAATACTAATACTAATACTAATACTAATATTAATACTAATATTAATACTAATACGAATAATAATACTACTGCTACTACTAATACTAATACTAATACTATTACGAATACGAATACTAATACTAATACTAATACTAATACTAATACTAATACTAATACTAATACTAATACTAATACTAATACTAATACTAATACTAATACTAATACTAATGCTAATGCTAATACTAATACTAATACTAATACTAATACTAATACTAATACTAATACTAATACTAATACTAATACTATTACGGAGTCTAGTACTAATACTAATACTAATACTAATACTAATACTAATACTAATACTAATACGAATACTAATACTATTACTAATACTAATACTAATACTAATAGTAATACGAATGCTAATAGTAATACGAATACTAATACTAATACTCATACTCATACTAATACGCATACTAATACTAATACGAATACGAATACAAATACTAATACTAATACGAATACGAATACTACTACTAATACTAATACTAATACTAATACGAATACGAATACGAATGCGAATACGAATACGAATACTAATACTAATACTAATACTAATACTAATACTAATACTAGTACTAATACTAATAATGATAACCATAAAAATAACAATACTAATGATGATAATAATAATGATGATACGAATAATGACAACAATCACAATAATAACAATTACCCTGCGACGCACCCAACCCACGCGCATCAAATGGCAAGAGGAGCGTGCCAACATTAGCAGGAACAACGACAGTGTAGACGCGGCGATTTGCTGTGCGAGCTACATGGGATGCGCATGCGCTGCACGATTCACAGGACGACGATCGAAAGAACGAGGCTTGAGGCCCCAGGATCGAAGAAGAACGGGCACGGGAACGAGGGGTAGGAGAGGGATGGAATGGAGGGCGGGGGGGGGGCGAAAAGGCCATCGCGGAAGCAGCAGCATGCATGGAGAAGGTGGGGCGGGGAATAGGACGACGATGAAAG